GAGGCCCTTGATCACTGGATGCAAACTGCTGGAATGAGCTGAACAATTTGGGCAACAGCTGAATTGACATCACAACAGACCTGGGGAAAAGTAAAAAAGTCAGCGTTGTAACACGTATATATTACACCATAGAGGTAATCCAAAGCAGTCTTAGAGGCGCGCCGTCCAAGATGAACTGCACAAGAATAACATCACCAAGGGAAAGGCAAAAGGAAGTGCCCAAAACAGGGTCCAATTGAGATCCACGGTCAACTCCCTATGCTTCCCAGCAGGAGCGAAGATGGATTAATCAAATCTAAGCTATTTGATAGTTTTACATAAGTAAACGCTGACCACTTGCAAAATATCCAGTATCAAATACATATAAATATTCTTTTTCCGTGGAAAATCGTAAACTTAGCAAAAACACTAAAAGAAACACAAATTTTAGACAGTCAACATCACAAATGTAATTCCAGAAATAATCAACTACCTGTTGGCGGCCAAATTAGCCACACATCCCTCGATAAACTTCATCCTGATTTTCTTCTCGCCAGTGTAACATATCAACTGACACAGAAGCTTTTCGGCCTCCTGGACCAATCCATCAGAAAGGTGAATCTAAACACATTGGAAAATTAACGTTTTGATTTAATAGTAAAAGTTTACAAAAATACTTGTGGAAAAAAAACCTTGTGGCTAGTATGACGCGGCTTTTCATCTCGGCCAAGACACTCACGTACTTTTTGGAAATTTCCAGCATACTCGGTGAGCACTGCGTGAGGTTGCTTAAAATTTCCCAAAAGTCTCTTGGCCGCGTGAAACCAGCAAAGATGTCTTTTTTCCAATAGTTTTAAATATCGTTAGTAATGCTATAACAAAAGATAAGTTACTACTTACAGCATTATCGTCTTGAATAAGATCCCAAAGTAGTGTCTTTCCTTGCTCACACACAGTGTTCAAATCAAATCCTAAGCTCCTCTGTCGCTCCTCTCCCCCCTCCTGCATGACACGCAGAGCTGCCACCGTCTTAAGCTGTGTCAGTTCATCTTGGACTCCCTCCGCATCAAAATCATCCAGGTCACGCCTATCTGACAGAGAGCTACCTCGGCTGTTTGTGCAGCTGGTGCTGTCGATGTCTGCATCTTCTCCACCTGTCTTATCTTGGCTAGAATAATCTTCAGCTTGGCCTGCGTAGGTCTGCCTAAGTTCAGGGGGGTGAGGGATCTCTTCTGTTTCCATGTCAGCACTCCCTTTAGAGGAAAGACTACAACAACAGAATACAGTCAAACCTGGACTATCCGGACCTCGATTATCTGCATTTCTTGAATACCGTATTCGGAATTGCTTCTCTCGTCCCGTTTATTTTGAATAATGATTTCCAACAATTAAGATCTGTAACAACTTCCTTCCACCAAACAAAGCACACGTCATTAATATCCCGATGGAAATGAATTTGTTACGCTTTCTGAGGCTGTTAAATGTTTTAGGAAGTGTTTCACATAGATGGAAAGACAAAGCGAAGTTGACACTATACCACAAATTAAGTTTCAAGAATGATAAAAATTAGCAACACGCAAGCGCAGTAGCAGCTTGAAACAAACTGATTTACGTCTGCACTAATTTTTAAAGGTCGACTTTAAACGTTGTTGGTTAGCTTAAATAACTTTTTGTACCTACTTTTGGAAAATGTTTAAAATGATCTACAATGATTTGAGAAAGTGCTTATGCTCATTGTGCATTCAGTTCTGATTTAGGCTAATTAATATTCACATTATCAATTATCTGGACTCTCTTTTCAGCCCAGTTCTCATAGGTACGGATAATCCAAGTTCGACTGTATATATAACTGTAATAGCAAGTAGGTTACAACAATATAGGTTACATCCATACGACTTTCAAGAACAAATATTCAGGCACAATAGTTTTTGTTTGGTTGTGTTACTATTTTCCGACTCATCCCTCCATCATTTTCTTTTCATCAAGCTCCATTGAAATAAAAAGAAATTGTACACCAATGCAGCACCAGATTGCATACCGCGTATATTTTTGACGACCATGAGTCAGTGATTCTTCCATGTCAAGCTGTTCACCATCGCAACTTATATCACTCAGGCTGCCACTCCTGCTGCTACTCTGGCTAAGACTTGCTGTTCGACTGAATTTCCTCTGCATGGCTGATGCTACCGCTGCACTGGTGCTCCCTTGGAATTCATTTTAAGAATAAAATATTAATCCCTAATCAACTCTTAAGGTCTAATTGGTAACACTTAACAATTGGTCATAATGCCAACAATATTGAACTGTGGCAATCAGTGCTTACGGCCAAAACGAGCTAAGACAACAAATAATTTATATGGATTTCAACATGAATGCTGTAAATGCGTATATGCCTCCAACAACAAGTTAGTGGCTTCCCAATTCTAATATTTTCGATTTGGTAGCAGTACTACGAAACCTGTTCGCCTTGAACAACAAGTAGGTGGATTGCCAATTATGAGATTCTCATTGAAGTAGCTGCCCTTTTGTTGTTGTGTAAAGGACATTTTAACTACATCCTCCCTCCCTCGGCTTGAAGCTGGGAACATATCTCCCCTGTGACATGTGCCAATCTGTTTGCTTTCTGCTTTTGTTATCCAGAGCCTTGCTAACACTGACCCTAAATATTTAACTTTTTCAATTAAAAAGTTGTGATTGACGAAGTGGTCTAATGACGAAAGTTCTCCTAACAACTGCATAACAGTTGCCTCCTTTGTGAAAACAGCCAGGCCCTCCTTTGCAACAAACCAAAAAAACAATTAAAAAAAACAACAACAACAAAAAACCTAAATGAAAAATGAGAAAGTTACTACTACATTACTCACCAGCAGTCAATGGTCCATGCACAGGGCTGTTCGTGTGCACGGCTGTACCAGACTCTGCCACTGCAGGAGACAAGCCTGCTCTCCAGACAATTCTAATCAGAACAAGTGCAAGGTAGAGGGTCTGTCGGGTGTGAGCTGCTGGTGGTAGCTTTGAGACCAAGTCCAGCAGGTACAAGATAGAGGGCATATCCATATGTTTTGTTAGCACAGTCAGAAGATCATGAACATATCGGCTGGCATGTTTGAGCTGAAATTAAAGCAGAGGTCAGTCAGCAGGAAAGTGTCTTATAGTTCCCCTCATGCTACCATCATCAGAATAAACCGATTGTCCGTTGGGAAACAAAAAAGAAAAAAACCATTCCAACAATATTGAACTGTGGCAATCAGTGCTTAGGGCCAAAGCGAGCTAAGACAACAAATGATATATATGGATTTCAACATGAATGCTCTAAATGCAATATGTACCTGTGCTGCAAGCCAAATGCAGTCCAAGTGAGAGGTAGTCAGGCACGTCTCTCGAGCCAAATAATTCAGTATGATCTGAGACTGTTTAAGAAGCTACAAAATGTAGAAACAAGTCATTTTAACAGTAAGATCAAACGCGCCTTTACTAACTGTTGAATTCAATTTATTTCAACAAATGTATTTCCCACATAACAAAAAAAAAAGGAAGATTGCAGAGAACATAAAATTTATTATCACATCAAAGAGGACAGAGATTACACTTGCATCATCTACAATAGCAGTTCAATAATATTACGAATTTTGGGGGAATGGTAAGGAAGCCCAATTGACGCTAGTAGCTTGTCTAGATGTCGAAATGACTGGGCAAACATTGATACCAAGAAAAATTATTATTCTTGTTAGAGAAATGAAACTTGGTTTACACGAGACGTTTAGCTCCAAAAGGGAATATCTGTGAGCTACATTACTCCCTGTGTCTAGTTTCCTTTTCATTTTCCATTCATAAAAAAGAAGTGATTTCCTCTGCTTAACAAGAATCACCTCAACATGTAAATTTGGACCAAACAAGTGTTCCACAAGTTTGTTCTCAATCAGCCACTGGGATAACTCTGTACATAAGCTGTTGGATCAAAATAACGAGAGCATTATTATCTTTTTAAATTACTTTAAGAAAAATTACTGTTGCTTAACATTTTGAATACCCCACCTGACAAGACCAATCAGAGAGAAGTTTAAACTCAACCACTAAAAATACCACTTTAAATTTGTTATTTTTATCCCACCTTGATACACTGTAAAAAAACATTTGATATGTGAAATTTTATTTTCCTAAACAGCCTAACCAGTCAGTATTTGTGATTAACACACCTGGGCAAGATAACAAAAACTTACCTCTTTCTTATATATAGCCTGCAGAAAAGGCGTCTTATTAGGGCGAGTTAACGTTAAGAAGCTCGCGATTGTTAATTCAACCGGCCATGTTTGATTTGAAGATGGAGGCAGCAGAGGGGGAGGGGGCGGGGAAAGATAAAAATATTCATTCTCCCACCCCTCTCCTTATTTTTGACCATCGCTCACCCAATTCTCTCCCCAGCCTTCCATTGCCATTAAAATCAAAGATGGCGGCCATAATTTTCACTAAGAAAATACTGAACACCCGCTGTCCAAAATTACGCCAGCTCTGTAGGCTATCTTATATGGGAAGGCCCACCCTTTCCTATTAGGAGCAGGTAGATTATATCAAAATAACATCCCAGAACAGATTACATGTTTCCCTATGGAAGTTGAACCAGTTAGGATCAGAAATTATAGAAAAAAGAACTTTAATTATGTGTACATACCATTGCCTATCTATTTCTGAAGCTGGATCAGTTTGGAAGAGATCCATGAACATGTGAACCTGATTCTGAGAAAAAGATGATCAGATCAATGTAATTAACAAGAACAGGTCAGCTGCTATCAAACACAAAATACAATGAATTGTTAAAATTAATAACAACAAAATAAACCTTGGCCAAAATGCTGATGACTTAAAGATTAACATTTTCTGCCTTATCAGGAAGTCTAATCAAAATTAGCTTCTGCAGGCAAGTGCTATGCATGTCAGAAAATTTGCCAACATGGAAACAGAGAAAAAAAATCCCTTCTAAACAACATTGTTAGATGCACTTTTCTCCTTGGTAATTGCAAAAATATCAGGGTACCATGTGGTGAAATGATTATGCACATGCAGTTCTTGAAGTCACTGTTGGCAAAGCATGTTTACTCATTAGAGAAAGTCTTCATCTTTCCTTAATTTTATACTCAATTTCTCATCCATAAGTGAGACAAACTTTACCTAATGTCCTCAGTAGGCATTGATTGAATTATGGGTCAATGTGTTAACACTTCACTCTCATAGTGCTTCTCTCCACCAATTCACAGTAAGGAAACCACGGAGATTTTATGGCAAGGATGTCACTGTAGTTTCAGTGACCCTATTCAGTGTCCAAACTGGAGCTGATATTCCTTTGCCTCCTTTAAAGACGTCTAATGGCATGGATGGCACTGCAGTTTCAGTGACCTTGTTCAGTGTCCAATCTGGAACTGATATTCCTTTGCCACCTCGGAAGAATAAAAGGATTTTATGGCAGAGAAGTCACTTCAATTATAGCGGCCCTGATCAGTGTCCAATCTGGAGCTGATATTTCTTTGCCACCTTGGACGAATGGA